GTCTGAATATATATACAAAAAGTCTGAATATGTATACAAAAATCCTGAATATATATACAGAAAGTCTGAATATATATACAAAAATCCTGAATATATATACAGAAAGTAAACAGGTGGTAGTGGTTAAAGGAAGCGGACTTGGGTCTGGAAGGTTCGAGTCCACCAGCTGCCAAGTTACCACTGAGGTGCTCAGTTACACATTTAAAGCAAGTAGACCAATATTGTTACATTGGCTCATTAACACAAGGTACAGTAGCTAAATGCAACAGGGGTTAGGGCGCTTGTTTTGTTTAATTAATAACAATAATTTATTGGGGTAAAATAACCAGGCCACTAAGCATAGGAGAAGGACTGGGAGTGAGGACTCGATTTAGATGACAGAAAGAGAGAGAAAGAAAGAAAGTGACGGGTAAAATAACCCAGCGAGGGACAGTGAGTGAGACGGCGCGACATTGTTGAGTTGTTTACTCGTAACTCGGAAAACTCATATTTCGGATCGCTCGTAATCTTGAAACCCCACTGTAATGCAGTATGAGGTATTAGTCCATCTATTGGGCAATCTGTGTCTTAACCCTAAACCCTCGTACTCATAATCATGGCTTACTGTCAGAAATTCGTCAGACCACTGATTTGACCGACTGTTCCTCTGTTGTCAACCAGGGGGCAGCATCTACGAAAGAATTCTATGCCAAGAACTCCCGCTGGACAGAAGGTCTCATCTCTGCCTCCAAAGCAGTAGGGTGGGGAGCAACAGTCATGGTGTAAGTCTCACATCTGACAGTATTTCCCAACCAAAGCGGATTATCACTTATGTTCGGTCACGTTCACACACACACACACACTCAGCTGCACACTACATGACATTTAAATGAGAAACAGAAGGGAAGGATATCAAAGAAAATTTGTAAAACTTCATACATTCATTATGAAAAAAGAACGAAAAAGCAAATGTAAAATTCGAAGAAAATATTGTGCTGTTTTTAATGCAGAGATGCTGCTGATCTGGTGGTGCAGGGAAAAGGAAAGTTTGAGGAACTGATGGTGTGCTCACATGAAATAGCTGCCAGTACTGCACAACTGGTAGCTGCCTCTAAGGTAAGAAAACATCAGTATACTTGAATGACACATATGTATATATTTGTACTTCCAGAAGAATAAGTGGCTCCGGACAATAAGTCGCACCAGCCAAAAAATGCATAATAAAGAAGAAGAAAATAATGAACATGCAAATTTTCAGTGGTACAAGAGTAGCAGATACTGGTCGCA